CTGCCCTCAAGAACAGTTCTCACAGGGAATCAGCCCATGCGTGGCCTGGGATGAGGTTCCGACAGACTGTTAACCATGCTGTTTCTTAATACGAATCTGTGTCCCACTTACAGATTCCTCACAGCCTTACCTCCACGTGCCACTGCTTGCCCAATGCGTTGACCACACGGCCCTCGATTGGCCGGCGGCAGGCCCCACAGATGGGGACGCCCATCTTGTCATGGCAAGGCAAACAGTAGAGCTCCCCCTTCAGCTCACGGGCATCGGAGGTCAGCTCCTTCCTAGAAGACAACACAGAGCAACCTCAGGGGCAGCCCTCACCTTCTGTAGGGCCACTGCAACTGTCAGTCTAGGGTACTGTGCCTGAGGCCCTTGCTCTGGCTGAGCCAGCTTGTTCTGATTTCTGGAGCCTTCCTGTGTGCACCCCAGACAGGCCCCAGGGCATAGAGTCCCCGCCCAGGCCTGCAGAAAGATCCTGTGTCCTGTCCAGCTAGCTTCTTAGAGAAAGGTCTTTTTCTTCTTGTTCCCTTCTAAGGGCAAGCGCTCCGTGTGCTATTACCCAGTTCACGAGCTTCGGGCAAGGGAGCTGGAGGTTAAAATACAGACAGAGAGACAGCGACACGGGTCATCCTTGAATTCCCCAAGAATGCCTGCTTTATTGTGTTCAGGGGCAGATTATATAGAAATAGCCATGCCCCAGCCAAACCCACCAGAAACCACTCTCCTGCCATCAGGAACTCCTGAAGGTTTCGTGCTCAGAGCAGCTGTAGGCACTCAGATCAGGGGATTACAAGAAATTCAGGATCTGGGGTCTCACTGCTCCCAACAGAGAAAGGTCTTTTTCTTCTTGTTCCCCTCTAAGGGCAAGCACGGAAGGGAAACTAAGGAACCGTAGAAGGTTGTCAGCTTTTCTCTCGTCTTTCTCCCCTCTTCAACACCAGTACCAACCTTACACACTCCATTCTTTCCTCTCTGTTCCAGCTCAGCCAGAGTCCTGAGATCCGGAGGCTGCCCCTTATACTGCCCCCCTCAAATCACAAGGGCTCCTGGACAGACAGGTCAGAGAGAGGGACTTTCCACCCCACCCCAACTTTACCCTGCAGCCTGTGCCGTAGGCTACCTTGTTTACCTCTGTACTGAGTGGGAATCCCAGCAGCCCCATCCTGTGACAGCCAGGATCACCTTTGTCATACACAGGACCAGGACTGGGCACCTACCCACAGTGGGAACAGCTGAAGTGGTCCGGGTGGTAGGGATCATTCTTGAACATGAGGGGCTGTTCGTCAATGGCTAGGTGACACCGTTGGCAGATGAATTTTCCCAGGCCCTTGGCCTTCTCGCGGCTGTGGCAAGGCCGGCAGAGGTGCCTGTAGGAGGTGAGAGCAGTGTGAGGGAGAAGAATCCAAGAGGTAGCTCTTGCCAGAACTGTCTGGCCAGCACCCAGAAAAGGAAGTCTAGAGCCTGGCCTCAGTGGCAGCTGGGTAATTCAAAGTAAATGAGTCCAAGTTTGAGAAAGGTTTCCTACCACAAGGATTCTGAAAGGGATACCTTCCCCCACCCTGCAAAAGACAGGGGCAGGTAAGCTACCACAGCAGGTAACGGCACTTGTCTCCAAACCTAACGACCCAAGTTTGAACCCCAACACCCAAATCCGGGAAACCGTACACATACACTGGAATGCCTGTGTTTGCTTCTTCTCCAAGGCTTTCTGAGCCTAGGCCTAGGACATCGTACAATACAGAAGGAACATTTAGCTGTCGTTTGCTGAGATGTTTTACTTTTCACATGTCTTTTAGCGCAAGCGACAGTGAATGTAAGTCTTAGAATGCCACAGTGTGTGGCGGGGTGACCGAATCCATGCAGGGCTCATTCGCCCCTTCCTTTGGAGTCTGCCGGATGAAGAGGGGCCCTAGTGCTCACAAGCGCTTTCTGTCCCCAGAGACAAGTAAAGCTGTGTCACGGGGAGGCTCCTGAACCCCAGCCTCTGCCATCACAGAGTCTTTTTTGTGAGGACTTCAGTCATTTCTGATTCTGCTCCTTGCTCTGAGCAACAGCTGTGGTCTTAACAGAGAAGGAAATCAACAAAAGTTCTGTTTCCTCGTCATTGTGGGTGCAAAGAATTTTCGATTCAGCTCCCCAGGCAAAGATGCACAGAAACTCCATCCAGTGCCCCTTGGTCCCCATATCCCAGTTGTCATTGCAGTGACAATCCTGCTGGGACCTGGCCCTCCTTCCCAGGATCCAAAATCCACAGGGGCAATCCTCCATCTGTCACTAGCCTCCACAGCCACCTGACCATTGACACTTTTAGTGTGTGTGTGTGTGTGTGTGTGCACGCGCGTGTGCATGGATAATGCACCTGTGCATGCAGATATGTACATGTGTATGCAGTCAGAAGTCAATCTCAGGTCAGTGTTCAATTGTTCCCCATCTTATTTTTTCCACGCAGGGCTTCTCATAGAACCTGGAGCTCACCAATTTGGCGAAATAAGCCAGTGAGCTGTAGGGATCTGCCTGCCCCCATCTCTCCAGTGCTAGGGCTATAGGCGCACACTCCCACCCCAGGCTTTTCTATGGACCCCGGGGATCAGACCTCAAGTTCTCATGTTTGCATAACATAATTGAGCCGTCTCCCCAGCCCGCATCATTACCCCGTTTCACAGGCTTGTCGCAGAGACGGACTCAAGAGCCACCTATCCAGGTGGCTCCCCTGCTACCTCTGTGCCCTTTGGAATCAAGTCACGGAGCTTTACTCTCTACTTGCCCTGAGGTCCTACCTTGAGAGCTTGGCATAACGCTAGACACACAAGCAAGGTGTCTGGTACTATTGCTAGGCTACCTACTGTACCTGCACTGGACCGTGGCCACCCATCATTGAGAAGTAGCTCGTGGTCAATGTATCGAACATGTGAGTGAAGGCGTGATTATTCAAGAGGGGAAAGAGAGAGAGGGACAGTGGACATGATCTTGTGACAACACCTGAGCCAAAACTGGAGCCAGTGTCCAAGCACAGGGGGCCTGGCCCAGAACAGGCAGCAGCTGTGGCTACAGCCTTCACTTCTGTGATCCTGGAGCCCCTCCCACCCAGGACATTTACCCCGCAGCTGAGGACACAGGTGCTTTGCCCAGTCAGTGATGGTCTTACTCCCCATGACTCCAGTCTACATCTGGCAGCTTCTTCTTAGAATCCATACAGCATCCAATCAACATGGAAGAATTATGCTTTAAAGCTGTAGCAAGATATGGTGGCTCTCCACCGCAGTTCAGGAAGCTAAGACAGAAGGATAGCAAGTTTGAGCCGGCCTCGTCTACACAGTGAGACAGTGTGTCAAAACCACCAAACCCAAGGGCTAGAGAGATAGTTCAGTTGATGAAAGACTTGTTTTTGCAAGCATAATGTTTAAAGAATCCATTCTTTAAAAAGCTGGACATGGGCCATTGAGATGGTTCTGCAGGCAAAGGTGCTGGCCACCAAGCCTAATGACCCGAGTTCCATCCCTAGGACCTACATGGTGGGAGAAGATGAACCAACTCTTAAAAGTTGTCCTCTGAATTCTACCACATGCCATGACACACAGACACTCACATAAATAATCATAATAAATTGCTTTTTAAAGCTGGGCATGGTGGTATACATTTATAACCTCGATGCTAGAGGGAGGAGATGGGTGGAAGCCCAGGGTTTCCTATCAGTCACTGTAGCCTGATTGGCAAGCTACAGGCCAGTGAGAGACCCTGCCTCAAAACAACACTCACAAAAGATGGGTGGCAGCCAGGCGATGGTGGCGCACGCCTTTAATCGCACCACTCGGGAGGCAGAGGAAGGTGGGTCTCTGTGATCTACAAAGTGAGTTCCAGTGCCACACAGAGAAGCCCTGTCTTAAACCCTCCCCCTCAAAACAGAATTCTCATGTCAATATGCACCAGGCCAACAGAAAGGAACAAATACACATAAAGCGTTACTTCTGTAGTGACGTGTGCCGGGGTATAGAGGCAGGCTCTGCCACTTGCTGGAGTTTGCCACAGGGTGAATGACTTCCCTTCTCTGAGCTTTGGCTTTCTCAACTGTCAAATGGGGCAAAATTCCCAGCTGCACAGCGCTGCGTGAGAAGACAAACCGACAATAGAAACACTGGGCAGTAGAGTCTCTCCAGATGTTAAGCACACATAATTGTAAATGTATTGCTTATTTGTTTCTGAGGCAGGATCTCAAGTAACTGGGGCTGGCTTCAAAACTCAAGGCTTAGCCAAACAAAGATGACCTTGAACTTCTCACCTCCTGCCTTTGCTTCTCAAGCTCAGGGAGCAGAGGAATGGGCCACCACACAGCTTGAGGATGGAACCCAGGCTTTCGCACTCACACCGGACAAACCCTGTGTCGGCTGAGCTCTATCCCCAGCTATAACTTCAAACATTTCAGCTGAAAATCTTAAATCTTTTGAGACTAAGAACGCTGGCTTGAGTGTGCTGTACGGCTGCTCCTTTAGTGATATCAGCCTTGCTGAACTTTGGTGACTCACGGGCAACACCCAACCCATCCCAGCTCTGAGCCACCCCAGAAGGAGCAAGCCATGGTCAGGGAGCCACTGTGGCCCTCCTGCTGGCCATGCTCAGCGGGCGCGAAGCCCTCCCAGGCCAAAGGCAGGCCTGCCGGGCTGCGCTGCAGCCCCAAGCGCAGCCCCACAGCACAGACAGCTCCCTCTTTATAAGGCGCCTGCAGCTGTGCAGAGTTCCACATAAAGGCCATGATTTATTCCACACACCCGGACGGGGCCTAATTATACAGGACGGGACACAAGGACCCTACAGCAAGTGTCTGAAAGAATCCCCTCTCATCGGGCCCGAGACTCCTCAGCTCCAACCCTGGCATGCATAACAACACCCCCCACTCCCAACCCCCCCACCCTGCCGCCAGCCCAGTAAGCTTGGGATCCTGGCCCGTTGCCATGGTAGCTGACCCCTCCCTATCCCCCCCACTAGTAGAAAATCATCCCCTTCTGAAATATCCTGTTGTGTCTGTCAATTCCAGCCCAAGACCCCCACCCGGCCCAGCCCTTGCCCACTCCCAGGCTCCCAGGACAGTCATACACTTGGCCTCTGTGATGCTCTGTGGACTGGCTGGGGGGGGTGGGGGTACGCACAGTCTGAGGACACACTGGAATATTCAGTGTGTGCTCCGTGGAAGCAGACCCAGCTGGAAAAGCAGCCTACCCCACAAAGGACCCCTCAGGAATGAAGCAGCTTTTCAGGTTCACAGGCGTTGTGGGCTCGCTTGCTCTCCTTAAATAGCCAAGCCTCCCTCCTGCAGCTACAAGGAGTCTACCTGGAGCACCTTCCACTGCTGGCTCACAGGCTGCCTGCTTCCTGTCCTTTCCCTCCTGGATCCTCTGTGAGAGGTAAGGGGAAGGGAGGGGAGCCTCTGGGGACTCAGCAGAGGTGACGGGGTAGAGACAGCATCCAGTCCCACCGGGCCCTGAGCTGTTTGACAATTTCCACTACCCTGAAATTCTTACTTTCTATTATTATTATTATTATTAATTATTATTATTATTATCTAGACTGGTCTTGAACTCTGTATGATGGAAGATGACCCTGACCTCTTGCCCACCTTCCAAGTGTTCAGATTCCAGGCACTCGCTACTACACCCTGTTTACGTGCTGGGAATCAAACCCAGGGCCTCATGCATTCCAGGCAAGCCCTCTACCACCTAAGCTACATCCCCAACCCAAATTCTTACTTTCTGAGCAAGAGGTTATGCATTTTCATTTTACACTGAGCCCCCAAAGTTAGGTAGCCAGTCCTGGAAATGCCCCACAGAGGACGATGGGCAACTCCAGGGCATGTTCTGTGATGAACCACACTCCCAGGTCTGACCACAGAGCGCCCTTGGCCCCCAGAGGTGAAACTGTATCCTGGAAGGCGCAGGACGCCCTCATACCCCAACTTGGGCTATGGAATACCTTGACTTGGAAGGGACTCCCTGCTGGTCTGAGGCCCTGGCAAAGGTGTCCTAAACCCAGGCCTCATCCAGAAAAACTGATCAATATGGAGTTGAGCAGCTAAGTGTGGGAAACTCCAGAGACACTGGGGTTCTTGGGTGCCATGACAGAAAACATGCCCAGTGCAGCCCTGGTGGAGCCATGCTAACAAGTGCGGGAGGAGCCAGAAGGTGGGACAAAGAGAAGTGACTTATTGCTCCTTGTGGGCCAGGTCAGAGGTCAGAGAGGTCCTGGGACTCAGAGTAAGCAGGCTCACCAGGCAAGCCAACACTAGGCTTTCAGCAATAGATCCTACTTACTCTCCCATGGTGAGCGAGCTTAAGGGACCCACACACAAGCTATGCCTACCTTAGGGTGGGGCTAGAAAAGAAAGTAAGGGCTCTCCCTGGCCTCATAAGTCCAGACAATCAAGCTTGCTTCCCTTCCCTCTGGTACTAACTCCACCATCTAGGCCTGAGAGAGTGGATAGGCATGGGGCAGAAAGTAACTTCCAGATTCTGGGTCTTCCAGCAATTACCCCAGGACCTCCTTACTTTGTGGGAAAACCATGCCTCAGCTGGATTTGGCCTGTGACTGACGTTCAAAATGCCTGAGACTCAGTCAGCTCCAAAGGACACAGAAACCCCACCCCCCAGACCCAGGAGTTTCCCTCGGCAGTTCTGCAGCTGTGTCAAGCTTAGAGTAGCTCCACTCCTCTCAAGTTAGCGACAGGAGACTCTGCAGGCATCAGAGGTCCTGCCTCTGACCTTGGGGGACGCATCCTGGGACCCCATAACTGGTTCTGTGTTCCCTCCAGCTCTGTTCCCTGTTCTGCCTTTAGCCACATCATGAATGGCCTGGAGGCAGCTCTCCCGAGTCTGACGGACAACTCCTCCCTGGCTTACTCTGAGCAATGTGGACAGGAGACCCCCCTTGAGAACATGCTTTTCGCTTGCTTCTACCTTCTGGATTTCATCCTAGCTTTTGTGGGCAATTCTCTGGCCCTGTGGCTCTTCATATGGGACCAGAAGTCAGGGACCCCGGCCAACGTGTTCCTGATGCACCTGGCGGTGGCCGACTTGTCCTGTGTACTGGTCCTGCCCACGAGGCTGGTTTATCACTTCTCTGGGAATCACTGGCCATTTGGGGAAATCCCATGCCGACTCACTGGCTTCCTCTTCTACCTCAATATGTATGCCAGCATCTACTTCCTCACCTGCATCAGCGCTGATCGCTTCCTGGCCATCGTGCACCCTGTCAAGTCCCTCAAGCTTCGGCGACCTCTCTATGCCCACCTGGCCTGTGCCTTCCTGTGGGTGGTGGTTGCTGTGGCTATGGCCCCATTGCTGGTCAGCCCACAGACTGTGCAGACCAACCACACAGTTGTCTGCCTGCAACTGTACCGGGAGAAGGCCTCCCACCACGCCCTGGCATCCCTGGCTGTGGCTTTCACCTTCCCCTTCATCACCACGGTCACCTGCTACCTGCTGATCATTCGCAGCCTGCGCCAGGGTCCCCGCATAGAGAAGCATCTCAAGAACAAAGCCGTCCGCATGATCGCTATGGTTCTGGCCATCTTCCTAATCTGTTTTGTGCCCTACCACGTCCACCGTTCCGTCTATGTGCTTCACTACCGCGGCGGGGGGACTTCGTGCACCGCTCAGCGTGCCCTGGCCCTAGGCAACCGGATCACCTCCTGTCTCACCAGCCTCAACGGGGCCCTGGACCCTGTCATGTACTTCTTCGTGGCTGAGAAGTTCCGCCATGCCTTGTGCAACTTGCTTTGCAGCAAACGGCTCACGGGCCCCCCTCCCAGCTTTGAAGGAAAGACCAACGAGAGCTCCCTAAGTGCCCGATCCGAGCTGTGAGCCCTGAGCTGTAAGCCTCCAGGACGTCTTGTCCCTAGGCCAGCTGTCAGAGAACCAGCTCTCCACTGGGGCACATGCTGCCAGGGCCAGCTAAAGACCTCTGTCTTCCCTCGCCACTTCCTGAGCAAACCAACTGAAATGTCAGCAGTTTGTGCCCTGCTCCAAGGTCTTCCCTGCAAGGCCATCCAGTCTGAGCAAAGGCATCAAGAGGGAGGGCCAGCCAGCTAAGTACAGGATGCCCTGCCCACCCTTCCACAGGGACTCGGTTGGCCTGCCTTATTTACAGCTCCCAGACACCCAGTGACTTCACTGGTGCTAAATAGAGAAGAGCCACAGATACATTTCTGGAACAATGGGAATCTTTCTTCCCCGCTAAACTGTCAGCTCCTTTCATATACAGATGCCCACAGCAACAAAGCCCTACAGAATAACCCAGAAAGCAAGCTGCCCGGGACCCAGAAAGAGAGGCAGCCCAAATCTCAGTGGAACACGAAGGGTGTCGGATACTTCCTTTGAAGTGCATGGTATATCGTGTATCCCTTGCCAGCCTTGGGAGATGACCTCTGTCTGAGTTTAGGGGACACAGACTCTATGTGAGCCACACATGAGGACATTTCAGACTGGTGGCCCAGCAAACGCAGCTCTGGACCCCCTCCTGCTATATCCATGTTCCCACGCCTGCCTCTAGCCTGACAGTGTCTAGAGTTTCTCAGTAGAAGATGGGCTGGTCATGTATATGGCATAGATGGACGGCCATTAGAGCCCGCTAGCGGCAGGAGCGCAGTGTGTGAAATTGTCTCCGTCTCCCTCGAGCCCAGAAGGGACATCCCCACTCCCTCCCAAGAGGCTTCTACCAGCCTCGGCTGCCTGGCTTTGAACTGTTGAACTTGTCAGCATGTGTTGGACACTCTAATGTATCCCTTTTTTTTTTTTTTTGGTACTTGTTTGTATTACTCTTAAACATAATCGAGCCTTAAGGTGAAGGAAATTATTGTACTAGTTCAACATGGCACATATGTCCTCCCCTGGGATTCTCTCCCCTTCCACCCAAGAATGACCGAGCAAGGCAATGCTTCCCTTTATTGTGGTTCTGGTGGCCCAGGCAGACCTGAAGCTATGCATCATGGGGCTCCACATGCCATTCTAGGTTAGAAGGGCTCTCGGTCTTAACCCTACAACCGCCATCAATAGAAAACCCTATATTCGTCTATTACATTTTGTCTTCCAAAGCATGGGGTAGTGGCCCGTGCATGGCTCATTTCAGAAAGAGCACAGCCCAGACTGATGCCCCTGATGCCCAGCATTGCTTCTCACCAGTACAGGTCTGTTCACCATTGTAGTCCCTTACCAGACAGCCTGCTGAATACAATATCATACCAGCCTTTCAGATGCCAGGACCAGCGAGAGGTCATGTGCCTCTCCAGCGGCATAGCAAAGGGACAAGATCACTGTAGGCTGAGACAAAAGTGACAGACGGGCTTTGACAGAGACCCAAGTACCCAGACAGGAAGGGCATTCTTGCGGGAAGCTGGAGGGTCTCTGGAATGCCTTTTCTGGCACAGGGCACGCAGAAGCAGACTTGGGTCAGAGGAAGAGGATCTTGCAGCTCTATTTGGGTCCTGTTGTGTTAGAATCTCAAATGGAGATGCCACATAGACAGGGGCATTGAGCAAAGGAGAGACCTGGAGGAGGCCCCTGGATTGTCTAGATGTGCCATTGAGAGACCCAAAACTTCAAGGGCAGGTATGGACGTGGGCCCAAAGAACACCCCTGTGCAGAGAGAGGATGGAGGAAGTTAGCACAGAACAGAGGTCTCACTGGGAAAGAAGATGGTTTAGGCATGAGGTCCTTGCTGTGAGGCCACTGGAGGCCAAGGAGAGGACCTGATGCCCCCCGGTCTTGACCTGAGATAAAGAGAAGGTCAACAGCTATGCTCAGGACTTCAGGGCACAGAGGTGTTGCTGGGAGCTCCCCCAAAGCTTTCCCACGCAGGTGGGAGATGAGGTCATGGCTATAGGAAAGGTATAGAACCCACAGTGAGGGAGGCAGGGGTGGGAAGAAAGAGCAAGGCTTCTTGGAAGGAGAACAGCCAGAATACCAATGAGGCTTATGGTTCTGAATTTGGGTAAGTTGGGCAACTTGGTTAAGGGCTGTCTGTCCAACATCCCCCAGCCATGTGCGTACAGGAGGGAAGGCAGACAACTAGGGTCAGCACGGTGTGGTAGCAGCAGGTGGGGTGTCAGGGGTAATAGGGATTTGTCAACTGAAAACTCAACATCCGTCCATATCCACTCAAGACCCTTCACCCCAAAGGAACACCCCTTACCCAGAGGCAGCCCTGTCTGTCCTCCCTCTGCCGCCCCCATCCTGATCCTTGCCCTTGGGATTGTGTTCTCTGTCTAGTAGGGCTAGGACAGGTCTGCAGCCAGATCAGTACAGGGCGCTGCAGAGCCTGGAAGGTTCCTGGTACTTCGCCGGACCATGTCTCCTAGAGTGGGGGCAAGAGACTCTCCTCTCTGCCCACAACTGCAGCAGCCTCACCTGCCAGCATTCTTCACAAAGCCCAAGTCAGCCAGCTCCACGTCACACAGCTCACAGCGGAAGCAGCCTGGATGCCAGTTGGTGTTCATGGCCTTGATCACGCGTCCAATGACAAACTCACCTGGAAGAGGAGAGATCTCAGCTGTCAGTCAGGGCACACTCCTCACCCTTTGGCACCTCCCAAGTCCTATGTGTCTGGGGCTCCTCCCAGTTCAGCCTTGTCCAAGCACCCCTCTTTTAAGAACCTGAAGAGCAATGCTCAGAAAAAGACAGAGGGAGGTGATAGGTAAAAGTCCCCAGGCTAAGTAGTGTTCCCTACCTGTCCCCTCCCCAATTCCTAGTTGCTGTCACCAGCTCTTACCACAGAATCCGCAGCATGGAGCAAACAGCATTTGGAAGTCATGTTCGCAGTACTTCCGGCCCTCAAACTGCAAACGGGACCACAGACAAAAGACAAGCAAGTCATTCATCATCCCAGCAATCCCTTGTCCCTAATAAATAACAGTGGCCTGGGGTCTGAAGAAGAGAGCCTTCTAGAGCTAGCTGGAGCAGGGGGCTAGCCATGCAGTTTAGCAGAGTGCAAAGTGAGGGTTTCACAGAGATGCTGAGGGTCCACGGTCAGCTCTTGGGGATTCTGCTATCTGCTGAGGACCCGAGGATCCTGACGATAGGCCAAGCTGAGGTGGGAGCTGGGGCTGGGGAAGAATGGGTTAAATCTGAGTTCCATGTGCCACTTTGTCCTGCATGTCTGACCAGATCAGTGTCCCCAGAAACTACAGAAGACCCATGGAAGGAAGAAGGGAGAAAGAGAGCACAGGAAGGGCCTGGGGAGCTGGCCTGACAAAGCAAAGGCCCCGAGTGCTGCTGTCAGCCACTGTCATGTATTGTCCCAAGCATGACCAAAGCTTGTCTCTGCTTTCCGCTCCCTTAACAATTTGCTTTCTTTAAAAAAAAAAAAAATAGGGGCTGTAGCTCAGTTTGTAGGAAGCCCTTGTTTTGGATCCCAGAGCTGCATAAATGGGGAGTAGCAGTGCCCTTAGGAGATGGAGGCAGGAGGCAGCAGAAGTTCAAAGTCACCCTCCGTAAGTTTCTTCTTCTAAAGCAACACGCAGCTCTCCCCAGTGAGCCAGAGAGGCTACAGAGGCTTGAATTTCCTCAGCGGCAATATCTCCCAAACACCCACTATATGCTTTGCTTGGCTCTGGTCTAAAACCCCTCACAGAGATCTCTCCAGCCCTCTGCTGCCTCTACAGCCAGCCAGCGTCTCTCAGGAGCCTGAAGAGCAACAGATTTTCATCTGGCATGCGGGCCACATACCCACATCATCAACCAATGATGCCTAGCCTCCCGCCCCCGCAAGAAACACAGCCCTCTCTGAGCTCTGGTCCTGCCTCCCTCCACTGCAGCCCAGTAGAGCAGTGCAGTCAGTGTTTAACCAACTCTGGCAGAAGGCAACAGAGGCCCTGACTCTGGGTCTGCCAGATGCTGTGGCGTAGATCTTACTGCCAGGCTAGTACCATGCGGACGTCACAAATAGCACCACATAGGCGGAAATAATTTCAGATGCATACATGACGTGAAAGTCTAATGAAATAATGAGAAGTAGGACATTTAATGTGTTTGTTATCTTCATTTTTAATAAAGTACTATACCCCTCTACATTGATACGATTTATTATATGTGTGTGTTTATGTGAATGTAGGTACCCCCTATCCCCCGGAACAGGGTCTCTCGCTAGCCTGTGCCTCACCAAATAGACCAGACAGACTGACTGGCCCGTGAGCCTCAGGAATCCACCTGTCTCTCTCTTTCCCCAGTTCTGGGACACAGCACAGGCTGGTATGCCCTGCTGGATTTTTACATTGGTTCTGGGATTAACCTCAAGAGCTCATGATTGCGAGGCGAGCACTCTGATGACCGAGGCATTTCCTCGGCCTGGGCATGAGTTAGTTTTTTTAAGAACAGCTGTGTTTAGAAAGGATTTTACTACTTGCTCTTGTGAGCTGGTGTGGACAATTCAGGGCCCTTGACTTTTCTCTGAACTATTTCAAGACTCAATAACCCCACTCCTGGTCCCACCTGGTATCCCAGCTTCTTTCCCAACTGCTCCACAGCCTCTGTGTGTCACAATGCCCAGAGCCTTCCTCTCTCTTCCACTTCGTTTCCGAGATGGTCTCCTTGCGTAGCCTCCCACGATCTGATCGTGTTACAGGCACATGTTACATGCCTTGAGTAGAGGGGTCTTCTTTACATGCGGGACAAGGGTGTGACTCCTCTGTTCCAAACCCAAGTAACTCCAATCTCTTACAGAACAGAAGACCCCGAAGGAGAGCCACTAAGTCAGGAAGATGGAGAGTCTCTGTCTAGCTCCCGCCACTCTCCCGCTCGTTCCCTGCTTCTACCTGTGCTACACCAGCCTCTCCCCAAATATCCCACATGCTTCTGTCTCAGTACCTCTTCATGTGCTGCTCCTTCTGCAAGATCTCTTCCTGCAGAGGAGTGTGTGTGTGTGTGTGTGTGCATGAGTGCGTGTATGCATGTGTGCATGTGTGTGTGTGTGCATGAGTGCGTGTATGCATGTGTGCATGTGTGTGCGTGTGCATGAGTGCGTGTATGCATGTGTGCATGTGTGTGTGCATGTGCATGAATGTGTGTGTGCATGTGTGTGTGCATGTACATGAGTGCGTGTATGCATGTGTGCGTGTGGGGGGGGGTGTATGTGTGTATGTTTATCTCTTCTCTTCCGGCCTCATCAAACATCACCTGCTTACCCAACTCCAACCATGAGAATTCTTGTTTCTAAAGCATCCTCCCCAGATAATGGAATCACTCGGCCATTGCATTCACTGTCTCACAATGGAGAGCGAGTGGCATGGTGGGGTCTTCCTTCCCCAGGTTTGCCCATAGCCTGTCCAGGGGCAGCGGAAGAGGAGTGACTGCAGAAGGTCCCAGCTGAGGAACGGGACAACACAGTGTGTGAAACTCAGCGTTGCTGCCTCAGAGCCCGGCCAGGTCACTCTTCTAGAACAGGCTACTGACCAGAACCTCCTCACCTCATAGAAGAGCCCCTCGGGGAAAGGCCGGAAGCACTGTGCGCACACGAAGCAGTGCTCGTGATAGAGCTCCCCATTGCTGTTGACGATGCGCTCGGTGGGGGCAAACCGGGCCTGGCAGCGCTGACACATGGCATCAGCCAAGCATTCAGACATGTTGCTAGAGGGAACAGAAGAAGAAGGAGGTCAGCACTGGCCAGCAGACTTGCAAGACTGGCTCGGGGACATATATGCCCCTGCTTAAAAGGTTCAGGTGGATCCAACCTTTAAGGAAAACAAACATGGCATAAAGTTGTAAATTTCCTTAAAACATGAAATGTTGTTTGTGCAGGGACACACGCACGGGGGTGGGGGGGCTGCAGGGTTGCAAGCCGGACGGCAGTCTCAGCTGTTGTTCCTCAGGCACCATCCACATTGTGTGTGTGTGTGTGTGTGTGTGTGTGTGTGTGTGTGTGCGCGCGCGAGCGCGCGCGCGCGCGTGGCACCATCTCTCACTGACCTGGATGGAACTCACTAAGCAGTCTAAGCTGGCTGATGGGCAGGCACCAAGGATGTACCTGCCTCGCTCTGAGCCCCTCCCCACGGTGCTGGGATGTAAGTACATGTCCTCAGTCATAACTACTCAGTGGGGAACCTCTCCATCACCATGCCTGCCCCATCTAAAGCCATGTGCTGCCTAGTTTTGTCAATCTGACACAAACTAGAAATGTCTGGGAAGAGAGAGCCTCAGCTGAGGAGCTGCCCCCACCCAACTGGCCTTGGGCATATGTAGGGGACGTGTTCTTCACTAGTGGTTCCTGTGGGAGGGCCCACCTCATGGTAGGTGGATCTGGGTTTTTAGAAAGGAGCTGAGTCAAATGTGGGGAGCGAGACAGTGAGCCGCTATCCTCCATGGTCTCTGCCTCGGCTCCTGGTAAGTTCCTGCCTGACTTCCCTCAAGACAGGCCGTGGTGCAGTGTGTAACCAAACACACACTGTCTCACACACACATTCTCTCTCACACACACACGCACACACACACATTCTCTCTCACACACACACGCACACACACACATCTCTGGGACTCACTGGTCTGCCAATCTACCTACCTGGGTGAGCTCCAGGGAAGAGTGAGACTCTCATTTAAAAAAAAAAAAAATAAGGTGGAGATCTGGGGAGATGGCTCAGTGGGTAAAGCCACTTGACACGCAAGCATGAGGACCTGAGTTTGAACCCCCAGAACCCATGTAAAAGACAAGGACAGTATCTCAAGCAACTGTAGTACCCAAGTTCCTATGGGGAGATGAGAGACAGGAACCAGAGAATCCCCAGAAGCTCACAGGCAAGTTAGGCTGACCTGCCCAGAGTGGAAGGTGAGGACCAATACCCAAGGTAAGGGTGCAGCATCTACACAGTCCAGAGCTAAGCAGATCGCAAACTCCATCCAGAGAACTGCTGTTTTCCCATAACTCGGGACATCTCAGAATTCCCCAGCAGTGACCAGTCCAGGAAAGGCCTGTGGCCTCCAGCACTCCCTGCCAGAGGGCAGAGGGTCAGAGATGGACAGACATTCCATACCCTCCTTCACATAGTCAGCCCTAGAGCCAAGAGCAGCCTGTCCGGCTATCCTCTGAAGAGATAACCGGGCCTCCCCGCCCTCAGAGCACAGCACTGAGCGTGAGCACCGCCCTGCTCCCTTTCCTCAGCTGTCACCCCCAGCTCTCCAGACACCCATAGTCTTGACAGACGACACAAGACATCCCTAGGCCTGACAATAACAGGGCAGTCTGGGATGAGGTGGGGAAGTCTTTCTGCTCCAAACACTAAAGGGGGCCTGCTGAGGATCACCTGGGAATAACTCACGCCTCTTCCTGTCCCCTCATCTCCCGGGGCGTCTCACAGGCCTGGCCAACTTAGACAGTTTCTTTTTCTACTCTAGCCCTTGCTTTTGAGTGAGGGGAC